TGACAGACCAGATAGTTGGAAGTCTTTTAGCACAACTGATTCTTAAAGATTCTTTCCATCCTCCTCCTTAAATTGTTCAAAGTTGACCATCAGAGGCTATGATAATGAATGGTATGGTCCTGTCCCAGACATGGTTGACTAATGTGGAAAATAAAAATCTTATGCTGGTTTGAGTCAAGGTAAAGTTCTGTGATCTGTGGAAGTTCTGAAAGAACTGAAAGATGTTATTTTTAGTGATATTTGAAGGATCACAGAAAATGAGAGGAGAGGCACAAGATTGGAGAAGGCTGAACACTGTCCTGATTTTCCAAAAAGGGAATTGAACAGTCTGCAAACTATAAACCCACGAACCCAACTTTGATTCCTGGGGAAATTTTACAATGGATTATTAAAGAGATGCTAGGCAAGCATCTAGAAAGAGAAGCAGTGTGATTACGAAGGGCCAGTTCATCGAGAAGGGGTTATGCCAGACAAACCTCATTTCCTTTCTTAATAGGATTACTAGACCAGTAGATGAGGGGAATGATGTAGCTGCAGTTTGCCTAGAATTTTAGCAAGTCTCTTGATAAAGTCTCTACACTTTTGGAGAATATGGAGAGTTATGAATTGGACAACCATGCAATCAAACAGATTTAGAATTGCTTGGAGGACCAGATTCCACCTTATTGCAGCTATGGGTACCTCCCCCCTTTTCAGCTTCCTTTGTGTATTGCTTTCCCCCATTAGATTGCAAGCCTCTTAAGAGCAAGGACTGTCTTTATTTTTGGTGTTTGAATCCCCAGTACATAGCACAGAGCCAGCATGGAGTAGTGTTTAATAAATGTTTATCATGGGGCAGCGAGGTGGCACAGCGGATAGAGCACCGGCCCGTGAAGTCAGGAAGGCCTGAGTTCAAATTCAGCCTCAAACCAAACACCTGACACTTACTAGCTGTGTGACCCTGGGCAAGTCACTTAATCCCAATTGCCTAAAGAAAAAAAAATGTTTATCAGCTGACTGAATTCCTCATATCCTGAATACAAAGGAGCCACAGAAAGCTAGAGTGGCTTTCACATGCTTAGCTAATGGGTCTTGAAGCGAGATTCACTCTCTTGAATTACCTTAAAGTGCTCTGAATGCCTATCCCTGTTAAATAGTCTTCTCCTGCTATGGCTCCATAAATAACCTTTGGTTAACACTGTAGGTCATTCTCTATGAACATCTCATTTTGTTTCAATCTTAGTTTCTAAACTATCCAGTCAGGCCCAACCCAGAAACAGCTCTGGACTATTGAACATTTTTATCAATGACTTTGATAAAGGCATAGAAGGTATAGTCATCAGATTTGTAGATGACACAAAGCTGGAGGGATACATCCTACAAACACTAGATGAAAAAGTCATGATCCGAAAGAATCTCATCAGACTAGAGCATTGGACTGGATTTAGTATGATGAAATTCAACAGGGAAAGATGTAAATGCTTATACTGGTTATAAGTATAAAATAGAGGAGACATTAATTAATTAATTAATAGCAATCATTCTGAAGAAGTTCTAGGGGCTTTAGTGGGTTGCAAGCTCAACATGAGATGCCATAAAAGCTAACACAATCTTGGGCTATGTTACAAGTGACACAATATCCAGAAATAGGGATGTGAGAGTATCACTATGCCCTGTCCTCCTCAGATCCCACCTGAAGCATTATGTTCATTTCTGGCCTTAAGAAGGACATTAATCTGGAGAATGCCCAAAGGAGGGTAACTGGGTGGCGAAGACCCTTGAGTCTCTGACATATATGGGTCAGTTGAAGGAACAGGACGTGTTTACCCTGGACAAAGAAGACTCCAGGGGATATGATGGCTGTCTCCAAGTATTTGAAGAAATGTCATGTGGAGGTCGATTTAGATTTATTCTATTTGACCCCGGAGGACAGAACCAGGAGTAATGGATGGGAATTACAAAGAGTCTAATTTAGGCCTAATGTCAGATATTCCACATGCAGGATGGGGGTGTTGTATGACTCAAAGGGAGGTAGAATAGACATCTCTAGTCTCTTCTCCCCATACCCATATCCAAGAGAGACTTTATTTCCTAACAGGAGGGGAAGCAGGAGGTTAAGGCCACAAGCTTGACTACTTTGTCCTCCTCAAAGAGAGGGGTACTGGGCTCGCATCATATCTATTTGCTCCCTTAAATATCATTAGTCTAGTGCAGGGGAGGGGAACCTGCCACCTTCTAGGGAAACATGTATCCTTCTAGATTCTTAAGTGCAGCCTTTTGACCGAATCCAAATTTTACAAAAGAAATCCTTTTAATAAGGATCTACCAGGCCACACGTGGTCTCAAGGCTACAGGTTCCCCACCCCTAGTCTAGGGTATGTGGTTTTCAGGTTCAAGCTAAACTTCTGATCACTTTTTCTTTTTTTTCCTAGTTTACACTTTCTATTTTTATTTATTTATTTTTATTAATTTATTTATTTTAAGTTTTCAACAATCACTTCCATAAGCTTCTGAGTTTTAAATTTTTCTTCCCCTCCCTCCCCCTGACCACCGTTTCTTAATAGAGAAAGGAGGACCCCAAACTTTATATCCCTTCCCACCAAATACCAGTTCCACAATAAACACACATAGGAAGCAGTAATCTATTTATCCAAGTTGATAGCAAAACAGAAATCAGAGAAAGTATACATATGATAATATATGCCAAACAATACAGAGTAAAGGAGCTCACCCTCTGAGAGTGAGATAACTGCTCAACTGAAAGAGAAAGTCCCAGATATTACCCAAAGGGGAAAATTTCCCAAAGTTTCTAGTGTAGCAAGCTGGGGATAGGGACATGACAGAGAAATGTTGGCTCCTCTCATGATGGTTTTTTCCCAGAGTCTTATTTTCCATTAAGTAACCTAGAGTCGATTTGGCACCACCCATTTTCTCTCTTGAAGCCAGAAGCCAGAAGCACCTGAAGTGACTGCCTAGTACAAGGAAACGGGAGAGCCTTCCCCCAAGAAGTCCCGAGCTCCTCTTCAACTCCACTCCCCTCTTTCCCACAGGTGTGGGCCATTGATCTCCTAAGAATTATAATTATCCCAAAGTTGATTAGACTTGAATGTGGTACGTTTCCTCTCCTTGGAGGTCTTCAAGCAGAGCTTGGTTGACCATTTGTAAGGAATGTTATAGTGGGAATTCCTTTGGTGGTAGGTTGGACTGGTTGGTTCTGAAGGCCCTTTCCAAACCTTTAATTCTGTGGTATTGTGACTCCACAGCTCATGTTTCTTGAATTGAAATGAACTCTAGTGAACAACTCTGAATTGAATTGAACTGAACAGAATGAATTGAATTGAATCAATGTGTCTGACTGATGCCTCTAGGATGATTGTGGGGTCCCCTGCCTCATAAACACCCTTGGGGACCCTACTTGGAAAATTGATTGAAATTGATAGACCTCAGGACTGCTTCCTGCCTTGCCCTGACCTACTTCTTTATGTACATGTGACTTCCTTCAAATGGTTTCTGCTGGCCTGGGGAAAACGGAAAGGGTTGGGTAAGAGGTCAGTAGTGCTGGGTAACATTTTCTCATAGGGATAATTTTAATGTGCAGAAAGTTCAAAATAGACCCTTTTAAATTATGAAAAATTGTTTAAAAGAATAGTGTGGATGGCTTAGAAAGAAATAGCCAAAATTTATTCTTCGAGACATCCAAAAGTTAAACCAAACATTACCAAATGTTAACATTTCAAGAGAGGAGAAGTTACCAAATAGCAGCTAAATTCTGTCAAAAACCGAGGCTGAAAAGGAAAAAGTCCATCCACCTTTCTACAATTCAAATTTAATCTTGAAAATTATTTTCTTTATGAACAGAAAACTCAAGCTCCAACAATGTGTTATGTGATCTGAGGTGGCCCAGTGTTTAGAACACTGGGCATGGAGTCAGGAAGATCTGAGTTCAAATACAGCCTCAGGTATTTGCTTGCCATGTGACCCTGGGCAAGTCACTTTATCCCTTGCTTGCCTCAGTTTCCCCATCTAAAAAATGGCAATGATAATAGCACCTACCTTACACTATTGTTGTGAGGATCAAATGGGAAAACCTGTGTGAAGCATTTAGCATAGTGCTTGGCACACACTAAGTGCTAAATAAATATTAGCTATAATAAAATTATTGTAATTCCTATGGTATCTTGGCATAGATGCAGTAAGTCATTTCAGGCAGGTCCAAGGAGGGCTCCATTTCTGTTCAAGGAGTAAATTCATTAAAAAAATAAACATTCTACTCTAAAAAATCAGACACATAGTGGTATGTGCAGGTAGCTGAATAACAACAATTAATCAATCTGTCAAGTCATTAAGCACCTGATAGGCTATAGCAACAGAGACTGAAATAATCTCTACTCTCAAGGAAGTTACATTCTGGAAAATTCTATTCAAATCTTAAACTGCTGAATAAATGCAACAGGGACTGGTCAATAAGGGCCTAATTATTATGCTAGTCATCATCATCATCATCAATCATAACATTGTTATGTTTTTATTATTATGAGAGACACCAAGTTATGGTAGGGACATTTTCAACAGATTTGAGGGACAATTGCATTATTGCTACTTTATTTCCTTCTTGGGGGTGGAGAGGTACTAGGCAGGAATATGGAGGGGAGAGTGAGTATTTCCAGGAAGCATCCCACCTATGTGCTGTGACTTCATCTTCACCTTTCCTGTTGTTGAGATGGCTGCCATCCATCCTAGATACCTCTCATCCTACTCCCAAAAACCCATCTATATTCCCTCACTGAGATAACAACACTCATAACCCAACTAGGTTCTCCCGGTGTCTTCCTTGGGGGGAGGGAGGGATAAAAATGATTATGTAAGAAACTGATCAAGATTTTCCGAAACAAGGCATCTTCTGGTGATCCACAGGGCTCTAAAGCCCAAACTCAAGGCTCTCCAACCCCTCCCTTCTGAGTGCAGTACTTCTACTTATTACTTTACCCACTTCCCCAAATAGGATGTAAGTTCTTCTTTTGTTTCTGGGATTCAGAAAGAGCCAAGAGAGCAATCAGTCCTCAGCTGTTCTTTTCAGCTCTCCCAGATGTACTTGGAGGCTTCCTCTGTCCCTTGAATCATGGAAAGAAGCAAGATTACCCCAGAGGTCCTTCTTCAGTTGCTGCTGCTGCTTCTATGGGTTTCATATGAGAGGGGTAAGGAGGAAAAGAGAATAACAGGAGAGTAGAGACAAGATGAGCTGAGGAGATGGGAAGGGACAGGAGAGGAGAAGAGGATGGTGGGGGATGCTACACAGATGATATATTAACAGGTAGAGAAGGCTTGGCCCCCCAGGACAGGAATTGGGTCTTGGGAGACATATTTAGGGTACAACAGTGCTGGTATAAGAGGGGCTGCTTTCTGAAGAACCCAGGTTCCCTTTATTTTACTTTCTTTTACCTTTTTCAATTAACATGCTTTAATTTTCTTTAAGCAGACTCCTAAGTATTTCCATAGTTATTTTGTTTTTATAAGTCTTTTTCCCCTATCAACATTTATTATGTTTATATATTTTATTATAATAGATTATGACATATTATATGACATGATATATATTATGTATATTATATTTATATATTATATTATTCTATTTATTTTCTTTCCTCTCCCAGTTGAAAAGAAAGAGACAGACAGAAACAGAGAGAGGAGAGAGAGAAAGAGAAAGAGAGAGAGTGAAAGAGAGAGGGGAGAGAGAAGGAAAGAGAGAGAGAGAGAAAACAGTTGTAACATATGCAGTCAAGCAAAACAAATTCCCACATTGGCCATCACCAAAAATGTATGTCCCATTTTGCATCCTGAATCCAGGAGACTGGTAGTATGCTTCACAGAAGGTGCCCTGGGATCATGGTTAGTTAGAGCATTGATGAGGCAGCTAGGTAGTATAGTGGGTAGAGTGCCAGGCCTGGAGTCAGGAAGATCTGAGTTCAAATATGATTTTGGAACTGATTATGTATGACCCTAGGCAAGTCATTTTACTACCGTATGCCTCAATTCCTTCTTCTGTAAAATGAGGATGACAAGACCTCCCATGGTTGTTGTGAAGATAAAATGAGATAGTTTTTCTAAAGTATTTGTTGTTCAGACATTTCAGTCACATCTGCCTCTTTGTGTCCCCATTTAGAGTTTTCTTGACAAACCACTCGAGTGGTTTACCACTTGCTTCTCCAGCTCATTATGCATTATGTAAACCTTAAAGTGTTATATAAATACTAGCTATCATTATTATTATTATTATGATTTCTTTCAAAGTTTTTATTCTTTAAAATATTGTTATTCTATAAATTGTTCTCATCCTGCTCACTTCATTCTACATCAGCTAATATGTCTTCCTCTCAAACCACCACTTTTGTCATTTCTCATGGAATAATGCTGCTCCAATATATTCACGTACCATAATTTGCTCACCTATTTTCCAATTAATGGGCACTCCTTACTTTCCAGTTTTTTGCCACAATGCAAAAAGAGCTGTTATAAATATTTTTGTTCATATGGATCCTCTTCTTCTTTCTTTGACCCCTTTAGGAGTAAAGCCACAATTTAGTAATTTTAAGACATAGTTCTAAATTACTTTCCAGAATAATGTGCTGTTGTTCAGTCATTTTTCAATAATGTCTGACTCTCTGTGACCCATTTGGGGTTTTCTTGGCAGAGATACTGGAGTGATTTGCCATTTCCTTCTCCAGTTCATTTTACATATGAGGAAACTGAGGCAAGCAAGGTGAAGTGACTTGCCCAGAGTCACAGTTAGTAAGCATCTCAGGCCAGCTTTGAACTCAGGAAGACACATCTGCCTGACTCTGGGCCCAGCCCTCCATCCACTGGATGACTTAGAATGACATGATCAATTCACAATTCTACCAACCATAATTTATCGTTCCCTATTTTCTTGTAGCTCCTTCAACATTTATCACTTTCCCTTTTTGTTGGTTTTGCCACTCTCATTGTGTGAGGTAGAACCTCAACGTTGCTTTTATTTGTATTTCTCTAATTATTAGAGATAGGGAGAATGTTTTTCATATGATTGTTGAATGGTCTGTACCTATTCCTTTGAAAATTGTCTATTCATTGGGGCAGCTAGGTGGCGCAGTGGATACAGCATCGGCCTTGGATTGAGGAGGACCTGTGTTCAAATCCAGCCTCAGACACATAACGCTTACTAGCTGTGTGACCCTGGGCAAGTCACTTAACCCCATTGCCTGTCCTAAAAAAAGAAATTGCCTATTCATATCCTTAGACCATTTATCAATTGAGGAATTACTCATCCTTATAAATTTAAATCAATTCCTTCTATATCCTGGAAATAATAATGATGGTGATAATAATAGTCAGCATTTATATAGCACTTCAAGGTTTGCTAGGTGCTTTACAAATATTATCTCATTTTAAACTCACAACAACCCTGAGAGGTAGATGTTATTATTATCCTCATTTTACAGATGAGGAAACTGAGGCAGGCCGAGGTCAAGTGACTTACTTGACCAGGATCACATAGCTAGTCCCCATCGGAGGCCAGATTTGAACTGAGGCTTTCCTGATTCTAAGACTAGTGCTCTGACTACTTCACCCCCTAGAAAAGAAAATGATTATATGAATTTGCCCCAGTTAACTATTTCTCTTAGGATTTTAGTCATCTTGGTTTTGTTCTTAGAAACACTTTAATTTTATGGACTCAAAATTACCCACTCTATTTTCTGTGATTTTCTCTATCCTTTTTTTGTTATTGTTGTTGTTGTTTGTTTTTTGTCATTCATTCTCCCCAGATCCGTAGTTAGAAAATAATCCTTTGGTGGTTTGATTGGTATGGCACTGAATGAGTAAATTAATTTAGGTAGTACTGTCATTGTTGTTATATGTGTTGTTAACATTGTTTCTGTATTTCTCAGAATTGTTTTAATTTGTATTCTCCTAATTATTACTCATTTAAAGCATTTTTAAAGTATGGCCAGTGATGCCTTGGCTTTCTTCCCCTTAAAACTGTCTATTCATATCCTTTGACCATTTATCAATTGGGGAATGGTTTATTCTTATACATTTGAATCAGTTTCCTACACAATCTTAGAAATAAGACCTTTATGAGAGAAACTTGCTGCAAAGAGTCTTTCCCATTAATTTGCTTCAATTCTATCAGCATTGGTTTCGTTTGCACAAAATTTTTTAAAAATTATAATCAAAATTGTCTATTTTACCATCTGTGATTCTCTGTGAGGTTATTTTGAATAGAATTTCACTTCCTATCTCTTCCTGCTGGGTTTTGTTGGCATTCTATAGAAATGTTCCCTCTGCTCCTTCTTTCCTACTCAAGGAGGGATGCTTGTTGTTAACTGAGCTCCTGGTGACCTGAGGTTGTATTCTGCAGGCTCCCTTGGAGAAGAAGTCTATGAAGAAGAGCACAGAGTGGCTGGGGAGACACTCACAGTAAGCTGCCAGTATACACCTCAGAAACCTGATCATCTGGACAAAGCCTGGTGTAAAAAGATAGTCAACACAACTAGATGTACTTTGTTAATCACAAGGCCACAATCTTGGTCAAAGACTAAAGACCCACGCTACTCCCTCAGTTATAACACTAGTGTCATGGTGGTCAACATGTCTGGCCTCCAGGTGGAAGACTCTGGGGAATATTGGTGTGGAAACCACAATTCTAGTGCAAATATTATTAATGTTCTCAAGAAAGTTCACCTAATGGTAGCTGCAGGTAAGTCCCTTCCCTGGGAACAGGGCTTTCTTGAAGCTTCATATCCTTTTTAAAGTACTTTAATCACTCCCCAAGCTCACATCCTTGACCACATACATGTAGCACCTGTCTTCCTACATTTCCGTCAGCTCTTTCGTAGCTTGGTCTTCTATCTCTATGAAAGCTAAGACACTTCCTTCCTTGCCAGTCCTTTTTTTGACTAGTGGATCACTGGACTTGGTGTCCAACATCACACACATGTGCACACACATACACACACACACACACACACACACACAAGTGTGCACAAAAACAGAAATGTGCTTCACCATTTTGAATTCCTATAATCTCAGGAACTGGTGATGGAGGCTAAAAACTGCATAGCTAGATATTGCAGCAGATACTGGTTTGTATTTACACTGGACACCAGTTACATCAAGCACTTTGGATCAGGGAGAACCCCAAAACTCAATGACGGACATTTTGGGGAATCCCCAGACCCCAAACATGTTGAAGGTAACACCCCTAATGTTGTTCCTGTATGTCTGGTAGTGGCTCCTCTCAACATAGGGCATATGAGGTGGGTCGTGGTTCCCATGCCAGACATTGGCTGAAGTTTGCAGTTCTGGGCCCTGGATTTGACTCTGCCTTTCTTCTCTCTCTACAAGGACAGATTAGACCCAAAGGCAGAGACTCGATCAGATCTTGAGTCTACCAAACGTCCCTCTTCCACATCCTTCCCAGCTCTGCTCTAACCTGAGGAAATGTTTCAATTGATTCTTAAATTCGTTCCTGACTATCACGATCCCAAAGTAATTCTCCCTACTTTTCCAGTCCGAGAGGCAGTGCAAAAGGAAGAGCGCTGGCTCAGGAGTAAGACAACCTGAACCAATTCTCACCTCTGACACTCAGGGACTGTTGTGTAAGCTTGAGCAAGTGATTGCACCTTTCTGAGCTTCTGTTTTCCTCATCTATAAAGGGGAATAATAGACATTCACAACCAATCCCATGTACTTGTTGTAAGGATCAAATGGGATTGTGTTAAGTTTTCGTTTTGTTTGTTGTCATTGGAAAGCATTACATAAATGTGAGCTATGGTTACAGCATATGTGTGCGTGTGTGTGTGTGTATATACACACGTGTGTATATATACACAGGTGTGTGTATATACAGATGTGTGTGTATACACACGTGTGTATATATACACAGGTGTGTGTATATACAGATGTGTGTGTGAGTGTGTGTGTGTATATACACACGTGTGTATATATACACAGGTGTGTGTATATACAGATGTGTGTGTGTATATACACACCTGTGTATATATACACAGGTGTGTGTATATACAGGTGTGTGTGTGTGTGTGTGTGTGTGTGTGTATTATAAGGACATGTCCAGGATGATGTCACCCCTGGAGTGTTAGCTCCTGAGAACTTAGCTGGGATATTAAGAAGTTCGTCCTAGGTGCGTCCTAATGTGATTTTGACACTACCTATCTCTTAACTTTCTTGGACCTCAGTTCCCTCAGTTATCAAATAAAGCATTGTACCAAGTGGTCTTTAAGGTCATTTTCCAGCTTAAGATCAGGGATTCTTAATCTGACCTCTTTCACGAACATATCAAATGTGTGTCTATGTATGTGTGTGTGTGTGTGTATATATATATATATTATATATTATATATATTTATATATTTATATTTATTTATATTTATTTATATTTATATTTATATACATATATATATATATAAAACTGTCTTTTCACATAATTAGTTTTATTTATAATTTTATTTTATGCATTTAAAAATATTTTTTTCTAAGAAGGGCTCCACAGGCTTCACTAGACTGTCCAAGGGGTCCAGGTCACAAAAACAGTCAGTCAGAACATTTATCAAGCACTTATTACATGCCAGGCACTGTCCTAAACACTGAAGATACCAAGAAATGCAAAAAGACAGTCCTCAGGGAGCTCACAGTCTTGTCGAAGGAACAGCTAGGAGGCCAGCATGATGGGACAGCAGAGTAGGAGGGCTTGTTTGTCTTTCATTCTCGAAAATGAGCGTGACATCAGGAAGGTGATGCCATGACATGCAAGTGGATTGGGCTTAAGTGAGGGAGGGCTGTGCAAAGTCACCAGCTTCACTTTCTCCTCTGGAGCCATCTGGGTCCAGTGGCAAGATATAGATCAGGAGATGGTCCTGGATGCAGTGGGAGACCTTGGCCTTTTTAAGCTAAGGTTTTTAACAGGTCTCAGTTTTATTGAGGCAACAGCCATTCAATGTTTAAGGCTAGGTAAGAAATGAGGCAGAGAATAGCCTCTTTACCTTGTCAAAAAAAAAATCAATCTGGGAGGGGAGGGGAAAGGTATAAGGCATGTCCACACAACATACAGCCCACCAAAGGATTTTGGGCAGCCCACAAAAAAGGTAAAGGATGTAGAATAAAGTAAAGATGTAATGAGTGCTTTGTCCATGCCCTCCTTAACCCGCCTTCCACTAGTCACTGTTGTGTCCGTCATGGAACTTGGCAGGTGGGTTGCCACTGCGCACTGTCTCCTGTTTGTCACATGACCTGTGGCAAGTGAGAGTCCTATCTTTTCTCTGTGTTTTCAGTGATTGCTGGCATTGCACAGGAACAAAGTGAGTGCAGCCATGCACCAATATAGCTGATGCCCCCTATGCAATGAGAGGCAACAGAGGGTTTCTTCCCCTCCCTCACTGCGCAGCCACCCTCTAAGTTACATGAGTCTCTCCAAGGTCAGACACTCAATTCAGTATTTCTTTGTATATGAGCAGTTGCTATGGAGATTTTTTGGTTCTAATGGTTTTTTTTTGAGAGGCAATTGAGGTTAAATGACTTGCCCAGGGTCACACAGCTAGTGAGTATCATGTGTCTGAGGTCAGATTTGAACTCAGGTCCTCCTGACTCCAGGGTCAGTGCTCTACCCACTGAGCCATCTAGCTTCCCCTGGTTCTAACAGTTTTGGGTATAACTTTGTAAAATGGATGATAAAAAGAAATGGAAAATAGAATCAGAACATAGTGTTCAATCTGGAGCATGAGAGACAAAATATTGTGCCTTGTTTGCTGAGAAGTAATATGCTCTGAAAGAATACAGTCTTCATTGCCATTTTGATTCAAAACATCCTGACTTAAGTAAATTGGACACCAATGAAAAATAAATTAAAGCATCCAAATTTCAGTGGGGAGCAATGGTTTTTCAAGAAAGTAAACTCAGAAAATGAGGCAGCTACTAAGGTTAGTTCTCAGATTTCTAAAGTAATCGATTTCAAACATGACTCTGGAGCATGATAAACTGATCACTGACAAGATGTGTAATATGTCCCATTAACTAAATGTAAACAGTAAGAAAACCTGAAAAATGTATTACAACTTGTACTGCTTAGCAAAGTAAATTTTTAAACATTAGTATGATTTCATGATAAATAAAAATCTTAAATAATAAATGTAATTAATTCATATTAATTGAAATTTCCCTTTTTAAAATATGGTTTATTTGCAAGATAGGTTAATCATTAATTATACCTTTACTTGGAACGTGAGCTGCTAAAAACCAATCTGCAGCCTGAAGAAGTTTTTATCCTATTTTAATTTTGGCCCCTGCCTACTGCCAAGCTGTGCATGTCTGTTATAAGGTGTAAGAAGATTGGAAAAGTGGGGGAGGTAGGTTACTGAGTGCTTTGAATAGCAAACAAAGGCTTTTGTATTTGATCCTGGAGGTGATAGGAAGCCACTGGATCTTACTGAGAATGGAGGTGATATTGTCAGACCAGTGCTTTAGCAAAATCAAAAAAGCTTAAAAACCCTTGCCCTAGACATATGATGCTCTGATCTTAAGTTTCTTAATTCCATTTTGCCATGTTTAATGGTAGAAGGTGAATGTCAGAGAATGGAGGTGACGTTGGTAAGGAGAGGAGGAGGTTACAGAACTATGATGTGTATAGGAATGTATAGAGGGGAAAAAAACAGTTCAGCAAAAGAAACCAACATATCAACCAAGGCTGATTGCATAGACGCTATTATAATCATTGTCCCTCACCTTTTCTGCTCATTCTAGTTAGCAAAGTCAAGATGTCTCATGGGTATCAGGGGAAAGAATGCAAGACTTGAAGTCAGAGGATCTGGGTTTGATGCCCAGGTCTGGCAGTTACTACCTGGGTGACCTCAGGCAATGAATTAACCTCTCTAGTCTTCAATCTCCTCTAGTATTAAAAAAAAAAAAAGAATGTTGAACTCGATTACCTCTGAGGTCCCTTTTGGCTCTAAAACTATGATCCCATGGGTCATATATTCATGAGTTTCACCATTTAATTAAAAATTCTGATCATTGGTGCATCATAGTCCTGTAGTAGAATGTTAAAACTGGGAGATCCTTTAAGGATTAGCTGGTTCAATCCTTTCTTTTAATTTTTTATTTTAAAACTATTTTTGTCTTTTTTTTTAATACCACAATTATTTCTTAATTAGCCCCTACCCCCCATCCTATAAGGATGGGGAGCTAGAGTGCCTGGTCTGGAGTCTGGAAGATTCATCTTCATGAGTTCATCCAGCCTCAGACACTTACTAGCTGTGTGACCCTGGGCAAGTCACTGGACCCTGTTTGCCTCAGTTTCCTCTTCTGTAAAATGAGTTGGAGAAGGAAATGGCAAACCACTCCAGTATCTTTCCTAAGAAAACCCCAAATGGGGTCACAAAGAACAGGACGTGACTGAAACAATTGAACACAACAACAACCATACTCACAGAAATCTTCCTCATTTAAAAAAAAAAGTAGAATCAATAACTGACCCAGTCGATAGCATGTAAAACATTGCTGATTATAGCCCATCACCTCTAATCCCAAGGGAAAAGGAAGGAAATAGATTTATTAAGCACCTCCTATGTTTCACGCACTGTGCTAAGCACTTTATAAATATTCTCTTACTTGATCCTCACAACAACCCTGGATGTTAGGTGCTATTTTTAATCTTCATTTTAGAGATGACAAAATTAAAGCAGACAGGTTATGCCCAGGGTCACATAACTAGTTATCTGAGGCTGGATTTGAACTCAGGTCTTTCTGACTCCAGGCCCAGTACACTATCCTCTATACCACCTAGCTGCCATCTAGAAGAGGGAAATTTTTCATTACTGATTCTTTGGCATCAGTGTTGATCATGGCAATCAGTATGATTTCTTATGTCTTTTAGTTCAACATCCTCATTTCAAAGAAGCAAACTGGATCTTAGAGATGAGTCAATTGTCCAAGTACATACAGCAAGTTAGTGACAAGACCAGTTGCTGGATGTAAATTTCTTTGGATTATATCAGCCCTGGTGCTGACACATCATCAGTACCCTCTGTCCTGGGTGTCCTTCCTCCCTCAGATTGAAAGGTGGAAAATGGACAGCTCCTCCAATAACCTCCATTTAAGGAGGGTGCCCAGGCCAGCCATCCCTTCATTTCCCATCCTGTAGCACTCCTGTGGCTTTATCCATCATTCCTCACCTTCTCTTTCCTCTTGTTCCCCTTTTCAGTGAAGACCTTTCTGCTAAACCAACCTCTTTCTCCTTACGCTATGATCATCTTGGTCATCAATGGCCTTAGTGCCAAGGATAATGGATCAATTATAGGACAGTGACAACCAGGGAAAGAGAAGACAAAATGGAAGAGGAAAGAATTGATCATTAATGAGGCTTGATATAATTCTTTGAATAATATCACACATTAATAAGGAACATTTGACTTTACATTGTGCCCTCTTTCTGATTATCCCACAGGTCAGGGCAAAGTCTGAGGCTTTGGCAATTGGCAATTGGGTAGGGAGATGCCAACTGTCTATCCCTTTGTCTTCTCTTCACAGCCCCAATGCAGAGAACAACCCAGCAGAAATTAACTACCATGACAGAAGCTATTGCCATCACCTCTACCACCAAAAGGTAAAACTCCTCTCTAGGAACACCCTCTGTCCTGTGACACCCCACTTTTCCTCTGCCTCCCCAGAAGTCTGTGTGTGTGCTCTATCCTCCACTTATCCAGAGACTTCTCCAGAGTACCCCAGGCTTCCTTAGACTTCAGCCTGTGCATACCTGGCCTGTTTCCAACCTCACTGACCCTCTTGACCTGTGAGTCCATCAGGCTACTCCATAGTTCCCAGCTACCACACTGTGGTTCTTGTGAGATTTCCTGGCTCAGCCCAGAGCTCAGGTGGTCCTCAGGGAAGAAGACTTCCCATTTTTTTCTCTTGTCTTCAAATATATGTGACCTGCAGTCTGATTTCTTTTTACCTCCCAATTCTCCATCTGGTTGTACTGCCTTGGATTTCATCACATCCCTCAAGAACCTCATTATCCTGCAAGATTACATTAACCTGGTGCTCATGTTTCATCAGTATGCTGTGCTCCAGGGCCCTTCCCTCCCTCTGATTTAAGCATTGAAAGTAGACAGCTTTTCCTACAACCTCCATTTAAGGAAGGGGCCCAGGTCAGCCATGTCTTCATTTCCCACCTCACAGCACTCCTTTGAATTTGTCCATCATTCCCCACCTTCTCTTTCCTATCCCTCACCTTTTCAGTTTCCTTTTCTATGTGGTCTTCCCTCATTAGATTGTAAGCTCCTTGAGGGCAGAAACAATCTTTTTTTTATTTGTATCCCTAGCACTTAGTATAATGCCTGGCACATAGTAGGCACTTAATAAATGTTTATTGATTGACTTATCTCTGCCCTGACATTTTTCAGGCCCCAGTTCAACATAACTGATATGACGTACACAGATGTCCAACTACCAGAAAATTCTACTTCTAGAAGTCAGGTTGTGGATCATGTAGGCTCTGGGGACCTGAGGTAAGTGGTTCCAATTAGGGTCCCCTTACTGCGCAGTATTAGTGCTTCCCTCTCTAGTTTCATTTCTGATTCTTGATTTTAGCTGAATTGCATGCACTGACCCAGTCCAATATAAGTAGTCCCCTTTGACAAGATACCTGCTACAGCAGGCAATGTGAAAAAGGCACATCGTTTGGTATTAGATGACCAGGCTTGTCCCTTACTACTTGTGTGACTCTGGTCAAATCACTTCACCTATCTAGGCCTCATTTTGCTCATCTACAAAAATGAGACAGTTGGACTAGAGGATCTCTTCAGGTGCTTTACAGATTTTAACTGCTTTTGTGATCCTGTGATCCATTCAGCAGATTTCATCTTGGGCTGTCTATCTCACTCTCCCCTTATTCACTCCACTCCACCCTTGCCCTAACAGCCATTCTGGAAAGTGCACTCATCCCAGCCCTGAATTAAGAACGTTTTCATTGCTGGTACATTGTTTAGTAAGGGTCTCTACCACTTCCACTCAAGCCAATTCATCACTAACAGAATCTGAAAGTTTTCCCACAACTTCATCAATACCTAATAATGCCAAAGGTCATCCAAGCTCAGCACATAGAATGTATTCAAAGGGTCCTCTGCCCATGAACTGTGTCTAGAAAGAGGAGAGATTCATAACCCTTGGAAGGCACAAGATGAAGACCAGGATGAAGGCATGAAATGCAAATCACATAAAATTCAATGACCAAGTAATATCATGGGAAAAATAGGATTTTGGAATAGGAAGAATAGAATAGAATAGAATAGAATAGAATAGAATAGAATAGAATAGAATAGAATAGAATAGAATAGAATAGAATAGAATAGAATAGAATAGAATAGAATAGAGGCAATCTGGTCCAAAGGTTCTTACCCAAGATCCATAGATGCATTTCAGATGAACTTGGCTAGAAAAAAAATTACATTTTAATTTTCACTAGCTTCTAACTAAAATTTAACATTTCCTTCAATTATTTAAAAACATTACCCTGAGAAGGGATTCATAGGCTTCACCAGACTGCCAAAGGGGTCCATGACTCAAAAAAAAGATGAAAAACTCTGCTCTTATCCAAATGCTTCGTGGGGAAAATAAAGGCTCAGAAAGGTTAAGTGGTGTATTACATGAGTAGTAACTGGAAAAGTCTGCATTTGAACCCAGGTCTTCTGCTTTCAAATGCAACATTCTCTTCACTACACCAGAGCTAAGGACAATCTTCATGAGCTTTAAAAATTTGCCTGTATGTGCATTATGTGTGTGTGTGTGTGTGTGATATATATCTATGCTTAATTGTAGCCTGGGGTGGGGAATAATAGGGGAAAAAGAACAAAGTAAAAAGTGCACAGCAGAGAAGGAAAAAAAAACCTATAAGTAAGCAAAGAAAAGATAGACAGCTCTCAATGTAGTATTTATTATACAGGCTTTCTTGAAATGGAAATATATTGCTGTATATTTTGAATCTTCCCTTACATTCTGCTATGCACATGGCAATGCTATTTTTTTTCTTTTCTCATTTTGTATTTAAGTTCATAAAATGTTAAAAAAAAAAAATGCCTGATAATGAGAAAGCACTATCATGTGGCTGTGGTTTGGGGTTTGTAGGCAAGGAGGAAGAGCAAGATTGCATACTCATTAACTTGCTAGACTACAGTCAGTGAAACTTGGAGGTGGGAAAAAACCCTCAGATTATTTCCAGTTAGAAGCATGATATCTGAGTAATGAGGAAGGGGCCACCAGTTTTCAGGTGGATCAATGACATTAGAGTTTTTTGTGGATAACTATACCTTACAGCCTACCTTCATGTGCTCTCTGATCATCTGGTAGGAGTCTTCAGCTCATATGTATGTAGATGTGGCTATGGTTAGGGTGTTGGGTTGTAAGACTTCCTGAACTGCTGAGTGGGCACCCAAATTAGACAAAAAGGGATAGCAGGCATGGGCCCTGTTAAGAACACAGCTTTTGTATTACCTAAAGATGTCCTGTGTTCTGTTGATTGGGCCACACTGTGTTCATTGGTTGTATGAGTTGGTTTTTGCTTGTTATTTGCTTGAGTTTTTTTTGGGGGGGTGGATTTGAAGGAGATCACACTCCTTCCTGAATATGATGTTGTGCTCTACCCCTAAGGGTTTGTTGAAACATTAATATTGGTCATGGTTTCTGGGTGCTTCTTCTATTCCCATGTGCAGTGGGAAAACAAGGTTCCCTGAGGAAGCCACAAACATCATCAGCTCAGTCTCAGGTCACAGAGGAGCTACCAAATTGGGTCATCAATAAAGCGATTAAGCACCAATTATGTGCCAGGCACTGTGCTAAGTCCTGGGGATACAAAAAGAGGCAAAAGATAATCCCTACCCTCAAGGAGTTCACAATCTAATGGACCATGATTCCACCAAAGAGTTTTTGATAAGCAGCCATCTGTGTCATGGAAAGGGCTGTCCCATAAGGAGCATAGCCCACTTATCTCCATATTAGAAAGCCTATTCAAGCTTCATCAATCATTCAACCAGCATTTATTAAGTACTTACCATGTGCTAGGCACTATGCTAAGAGCTATGGATATAAAGAAAGGCAAACACTATCCCTGGCCTCAAGGAGCTCATATTCTATTAGGACAATCAACTTGCAAGTAATTAAGTACCTACAAGATGTATACTGAGTAAATAGAAAGTAATAGAAGAAACCACAGACCAATAGAACAGATATGAAAGTAACATGGGGAATTTATTATATACTTTAAAAAAAAACACACAGCAAGAAATAAAGATTCATAGTTTCATATACGACCTTCTTTTTTGTGTTCTTCTGTGCAGATGTGTTAGAAGAGGGCCTAATGTCAGTACTAAGGCCAGCACTCTCTTAATTCAGGTTCAGTTTTAGCATCAAATAAGGCATTTGTAAGTTAACAGAAAGGAAGTTTCTATTATCCTAATACATATGCAACAAGGAGATGATGACACTTAACTTCAGCTTGGGAACATGGGACCTCCCTCACTTCTTTTCGGAAATTTGAAAGTCAGCAGGTTAGCACAAGTTAAGGCAATTCAAGTGGTCGCATACCTGCTAAGTCTGAGAGACCCTAACCCCCCCAGATTAGACTTTTTAATGCCTTTTGTATGTTGCTGTCCAGTCATTTTCAATCATGTCTGACTCTTGGTGATCCTGTTTAGGGTTTTCTTGGCAAAGATACTGCACTGGTTTGCCATTTCTTTCTCCAATTCATTTTTACAGATGAGAAACTGAGACAAACAGGGTAAAGTGACTTGCCCAGGGTCATACATCTAGTAAGTGTCTGTGGCTAGATTTGAACTTAGGTCCTCCTGAGTCCAGGGCCAGCACTATTCACTGCGCCACCAACTGCCCTATCATGTTCATTTTATGCCCTTAGGTGACCAGAAATCTATCTTGGGAAAGCAAAGGTCAATCAGATCAATGAACATTTTGTTTTCCTTTTAGGGAAAACATATTGGGGAAGAGTGGGAAAGCATGAACCAAACCCATCTAGTGTAGAAATGCTGATAGATATAATCATATCACAATTCAGAAATGTTCTTTCTTTGCCTTTTCTTTTCTTTTATGTTTTTTTCTTTCTTTTATTTTCTGTGTGTGTGTTTACATTCAGAATAAATTGTTTTTTAAGTACATAGGGAAGACATGACCAGGATTCCACCATAGGCACCCTCACAGCTAGACAATGTACCAGAGGACTCGACCTCACAGATGTTTCACCATCTTCTCTATTTTCTCCTCCCAGGTCCCCAAACTGTCTCCTCCTCCTTGTGGTGCTTGGCCTCCTCCTGATAAAAGGTCTGGCCTTCTTAGTCCTTGTTCTCCTGTTCAGGTCCAGGAGTCAGGTGAGTGGTGGCATTGCAGGAGGGACCTCAGAGGCCATACATTCCTTATTTTACTGTTGAGGAGACTGAGGCAGATAGAGGTAAAGTAATGATTTACCCAGGGTCATGCAGTCTGAGGCAGGATATGAATCCAGCTATTCCTGACATCAGGTCCAGTGTTCTCTATACTACACCTTACTGTCTCTGTTTGGGCTTTGGTTTGAGTTAGAAATAAACCAAGGAATATCCTCTCTACCATCCCAGGTGGAAATAGCTCCCACAGGCACTAGAGGCAGCTAGGTGGTACGGTGGATAGAGTGCTGGGCCTGGAGTCAGGAAGACTTGAGTTCAAATCCATCCCCAGCTACTTACTATCTTCGTGACCTAGGGTAAGTCACTTAATTTCTGTCTGCCTCCGTTTCTTCAACTATAAAATGGGGATAATAATAGCATCTACTTCACAAAATAATATTTGTAAAGTGCTTAACACAGTGCCTGGAATACAGCAGGCATTTAATAAATACTTGCTTTCTTCCCTTTCCCCCTTGTCCCTTAGACTGGAACAAAAGACTCCCAGAGTCTCCTCACCCCCACAGACACACAGCTGATAGCCCTGAAATAATAAAAAGATTCAGAAAAATCTACAGTGACCTACTAAAATGAGGGATATGTACGGCTTCTAGATGGCACAGTAGATAAAGCACTGGGATTAGAGATTGGAAATCTTGAGTTCAAATCCAGACTCAAACACTTACTGGTTATATGACCCTAGGCAAGTCAATTAACCTCTGCTTGCCTCAGTTTCTTCAGCTCTAAAATGGGGATACATTTTAGCTGTCCTAAGACCTAGGACAGCTCTTACCCCAACAAAATTGTTTTGAGGATCCAATGAGATGGTATTTGTAAAGCATTTAGAACAGTACATAAAATGTAGTAAGCACTATACAAATGTTAGATATTACTAGCTCTCATCACAATTAGCTGTTTTATGGATGGATCTGGCTTCAGTGGAAAAGGGACAGACTAAGGGTTGCCAGGACAGGCGGGGATTAGGGTACTAGGGCAGTAATGTGGTGTTAATTGAATTGAGATGACAGTTAGACATGATGTCATGGCACTTCTAATACGCCTTTCCCAGGGATTAAGAGCTTTGCCTGGTCATATGAAGTGGGTACATGGGTTGGAAGGCTGGAGGAAGTATGAAAACTTCAAGAGGGAAAAAACTTCAAGGTTTCATGAAGAAGGGATCATGGTCAGATACTGAGTTTGTTCATTTTCTTAACATTTTCCATTCTCAGAGTAATGGGGACACTGGAAAAGTAGAAGAGTTGAACAAATTGGAGCTATCTGAGATATCCCCCTACCTATCCTCTTATTGATGGAGGGTCCTGATGCCACTAGTTCAGCCCAGGGTACTAAGTATAGAGATTTCATACTTCACCAAGTTCTCAAGTACCAAATACATCACCAGATGCTGGAGCCAGGTGTGCTGGTAAATATTTAACAACCCACTCTCTGAAAACCCATGCTGGGTTTTAATCTTTAAAGTTTAATCTTCATTATTAGTATTATCTCCAACACTGTGTTAAGTCTTGACAATCAACAAAACAATAAATCCAGTCATTATCTGTAGCATTGGCTGATTTCTTTGGGTAGAGGTTCCTTTATTTTTTTTTATATGACTACTTTTGATTGAACTATTTTCAAGTGGTCCAATAATTCTTAAATTATCTCCCCAAGTCAGTTATTTTTCCAATGTGATATTTCACATTTTTGTTTTATTGTTTCTTAATGTCGCATGGAGTCATTAGTCACTTGTTCAATTCTAATTTTTAAGTAATTATTTTATTCAGTGAGCTTTTGCACCTCCTTTTCCATTTGACCGATTCTGTTTTTAAGGTATTCTCTTCATTGGATGTGTGTGCCTCTTCTACCATTTGGACTACTGTGCTTTTTAAATTATTTTCTCCAGCATTTTTTTGCCTCCTTTATGAAGCTGTTGACTCTTTTTTCATAACTTTCTTGCATCAGCGTCATTTCTTTTCTCAATTTTTCCTCTGCCTCTCTTATTTGATTTTTTGAGCTCTTCCAGGAAATCTTTTGGGGTCTGAGACCAATTCACGTTTTTTCTTTGAGGCTTTGGATGTAGCAGTTTTGACTTTGTTATCTTCTTCTGAGGTTCTGTTTTGATCTTCCCTGTCACCATAGGAATTTTCTATGGTCAGGATCTTTTTTTTATTATTTGCTCATTTTTACAGCCCATTTCTTGAAGTTTAATTTTATATCAAAGTTGGGCTCTGCTCCCAGGGTGGAGGGGGCATTGTCCCAAGCTTTGGAGTTTTTATGCTGCTGTTTTCAGAGCTAGTTCTGGAGATCTGTAAGCCTTCAGTTCTTCCAAGGTGGTATGATCGAAGGAGAGGTGTGTTTACTATTCTCCTGGCCCATGCTCTGGTCTGTACGTGACCACAAGCACTCTTTTCTACCCTGGAACTGTGACCATGGTCCCACTCCCGTGAGTCTACAAGTTCTGGTGTGCTAGTGCTCCTTCTCACCCTGGGACTCTCACCAAGGACTGCAACCTGGATCCAAGTATGAGCAAGGCAACAGACTCCTGCACCCAGTATCAGCAAAGGGACTCCTGTAATCTCCTTCTAACCAGGTGTCTGACCCCCTTACCATCTGCACATTGGCTGATGTCCAAAGTGTAAATGCCCATACTAAAAAATTTAACCATCAGCTCTCCTGAGCCCCTTGGAGGCTGTAAGATAATAAAATATTGTAACCTGCCCCTCTGACTTGTCCTCTTATTGCTTTGAATTTGTTTTGTTTCTCCTGAGGTAATGATTCAGGGAAAGAGATAGAGAGGAGCAGAAACTAATAGTCACTCCTCTTTCCTCATCCACCTGGCATATAGCTGATGCTTAATAAATATTGATTGACTGATCCCCCTTAGACTTCAACTCAATTCAATTTAAAACATTTTTCAAGCACCTGATATGTCAAAGGTGCTGTAGCAGAGGCTGGGATTAGGAAGACATTCAACATTTTTGGCCAATATTTCCTTAAAAATAATGATAATCAACATTTATTTAGTACTTTATGTCCATTATCTCACAGGACCCTTATAATCACTCTGTGATAGAAATATAGACACACAGGTGATAAACATCAAAGCAGGAATGTGAACCCAACACTTTTCTTATTCCAAGTCCAGATCTCATATGCTACCCCATCTCTTCTCCTTTGATTTCCATGTTACTGACCTGCTTTGACCATCCCTTCTAGCTTTTCTTTGAAGGTTCAATCTTCTCCTTCCATGCTCCAAGTGTGAATTTCCCTTAAGTTTCTCTCCTCAGCATTCTTCCCTTCAAGCTCTATACTTTCTCCCTTGGCAATCTCATCCATTTCCATAATTTCAGTTAGTGCCTCTAAGCATATGCTGAGTGCCAAATGTATACATCCAGCTCTATTCTCTCCCCTGAGCTCTCCTCTCATTTTCACCTATCTGCTTTCTAATCTGGATTCCCATTGGTATCTCAAAGTTAACATGTCCAAAACTGAACTTACCATATCTCAGCTTAAACTGCCACTCATTCTAACAATCCTGCTTCTGGTGATAGTTCTACTATCCTCTCAATAACCCTGGCTCAAAACCTCAGAGCTTATATTTAACCCTTCTCTCTCCATTCCCCAATTCGATGAGCTGCCATACTTCATTAATTCTACCTTGACAATATCTCTTGATATCCATTGACGATATTTCTTGATATCCACCTACAATATCTCTTGACTCTACCACTCACTAAGAGAATATAGACAGAGAACAGCCAAGGGATCAGAACAGAGTCCTGAGGGAAACCCATAGCTAGTGGACAGGAGATAGGTGGTGACCTGATGAAGGAAACTGAAAAGGGCCACCAGACCATAATGGGAGAACAGGATTGAACAGCGTCAGAGGAGTCAAAGAAGGAGAGAGTATCCAGGGGCAGGCGGTGGTTAACAACATCAAAAGTTGCCAAAGCCTGGAAGAATGAAGTTTGAGGTGGAGGGGGGCACATAAGTTTTAACAGTATAAGGAGAAACAGAGGCTTATCAATGGTCAAAAGAGTACCAAAATGCAAAAGGTTTGCTGCTGACCAATATGCGTAGTAAAGGAAGGAGTGCAGAATGAATGAATGGCAAACTGTATGTGACATAAGTGATGTGGCCGCTTTAGCTCACCTTAACATTTGCATGCTAAACCAGAAAAAAATTGGAGAATGTCAGTGTGACAGTTGATTGGAAGAGAGGGTTACAATCTCCACCAAGACACCAAGTCCAAAAGCCCTAATCTTGTCCTTAGAAGGGCATCGTCCGACTTTTGTCAGTTTGCTATGGTGGCCATGACTCAAGAACTGTCAGGCTGCCTTTCTCAAAGAGAGGTTCTAGATATTCTAGCCTAACAGATCAGAGCTAAAATGACTGGCACATAGTAGATGCCTAATAATGCTTATTGACTGATTGGTTCCCAAGCTATAGACTGAGAACCCTAGGCAAAGTGGGGAGGAGGGGAATGGGGGAGAGCAGTTATGGAAGAAATTATTGCAAAAGATCTGTGCATATTTACGACTTAGCTTCATTTCAGTCTTTATTTTGCTCCAACAAAATATGCAGCATGACTCAGTATAGCAAATTAGTTAGCAAACCTTGGGTAGACTAAATAAATAGTATGTCTCCATATACATGTATTACTGGGGAGTTCTGTTTTTGTTTTTATCTACTGTAGGTAGATATCATGATTACACAGATATTAATTCATTTAAAAGAATACTAATCTTATGCCATCATGTAATTTCGCAAATCAATGAACAGTAGTAGTACTAATTCTATTGGGTGAGGCTCTGCAAAACTTTTTGAAATTTAAAAAGGGACTTCATGTTTGAAGAAGTTGGGTTGGATTAGATAGCTCTGATAACTCTTTCAGCTCTAAAATTATATTATATGGTAATATAATTCCATTCAATACACTGCTCTGCTTCTGTTGGTCTTCATATGTCTTTTACATTTCTTTTCATTCTTCATATTTTTTCTTTTTCTTTTATGATGCTGGGACAGCTAGGTGGTGTGGTAGCTCAAGTGTTAGGCTTGGAATTGGGAAGACCTGAGTTTGAATCCTGAGTCAGACACTTACTAGCTGTATGAGGCTGGGCAAATCCATTAACTTCTCTGGGTCACAGTTTCCTTTTCTACAAAATGCGAATGATTATAGCCTCTTTCTCACAGGATTGTTGTGAGGGCTAAATTAGAAATTTGTAAAACATTTACAAACTTTTAAGCTCTATACAAATGTTAGCTATTATTATTAATATTCCAATCCATCTTTTTTTAAATATAAGAACAGATGTTTTCTTTCTTTTCTTAATGCTGATGGGATTCTGTCTTGTTAACAGAAGCTCCCAGGACAGTGATTTGCATGGACTATGGTGAGCATCACAAACATGGAAAAAGCTAAAAATAATTTTCTCAAAATAAAAGGGACTAAACTCTTAGAGGGGCAGCTTAGATAGAGTCAAAGGAGTTCCAAAGACAGATTGAACTTAAGCCTTATGACTTTTTCTGACTGTCAGGCCAGTTGAAGTTTGATACTTTAAGTTACCAAAAAAGGGAGATCTTGCCAAGATTGAAAATGACTTGAAAACTCTTCCCCTAAGGGGTTAGAAAGACATAGAGTAGTTGAAATTCCAAAGAAGCACAGCAGATGGAAGCAGAGAGCAGCTTGGACGTGGAAAACCAGACAACAAATGTAAGAATGACCTAGCAGAGCACAGCAGCTCACAGCTTGATGACGTTATTACTGGGCCAGCTGAGGGACATCAGTGATTCTATGAAGGGGACGCAGCTACGAGAAGCACCAGAGGCAGACAAGAATGACATCAAGGAGGCCACCCCAAGAGTAAGAATGACTATAGCTATGCATGTTGCTTTCTCCATAGTGTCACCATGATCTTTTGTGGTCCCCAGGTGTGTCCATTCTCCCCACAAGCTCCTTAAGTTGGTTCTCCACTGGTATTATAGTAATCTGTGGGAGAGTGTACCCTTCCCTATATGTATAGAGGACTTTCCAAGTCATTCTTTTCTGTGTTGTTTAATTAAATAAATGCTTTTTTACTTTGAGTTCATGTGTCCTCTTATTGGTATGGCAAAAATTACATTCATGAGGACTTGAGATTGTAGTTTTGAGTGCATGCTGACCTAATATGACCCATAAATCACAAAATCATAGCTCTGTACATCTAGGAGGAAGAACCTCAGAGATCATCTCATCTATCTCCTTTCTGAAGGAAAGAATATTTGCAACATTCCCGACAAGTTTCTGTCTACTTATTAATTGAATACATTGAGTAATGGAGATTTCATTACTCATTCCATTTTCAGGCAGCTTTTGTCATTAGGAAGTTCATACTTTCATTGATGTGAAATCCCACTCCTCACATCCGTGCCTATTAAAAATCCCTCTAAGCTTTCCTAAACTCCCTGACCTAAACGTTAGGCTAGCACTTATTACCTTTATGCAAAGGATCCATCCCAATTCCAGCTTCCTGGATTTTCCCTCCCCACAAGACATCTACACTTTGATTTCAGAGTTTTTATCTTTCACTATTTTCTAGATGTTCACTGATGGATAGAACCCAATTCCACACAGAGCATCTCAGACTTTCCTGGCCAATTTAGCTTCTTGGGCTCAGAGATTGGTAGTCTATGATCCCTAATTATCTCTCCCTATTCTTCTAACTTAGTCACTGTGACTAGATATCTGTTACTGTTGCTCAGTCGTTTCAGTCATGTCTGACTCTTCATGACCCTATTTGGAGTTTTCTTGGCAAATATACTGGAGCAGTTTGCCATTTCCTTCTCTACCCCATTTTACAGATGAGGAACTGAGGCAGATAGGATCAAGTGATTTGCTCAGAGTCACACAGCTAATGAGTGTCTGAAGTCAGATTTGAACAAAGATGAGTCTTTTTTATGTCAGGCCTGGCACTTTATCCACTGTACCACCTAGCTACCCTGATGGGGTATCTATCTCTTCTCTGTTCTTGGCTCCCATACTCCAGACTATACAGGTTCAATATAGTAATCTAACAAACAGAAGTTGTTGGTCTAGAACAATCACTGTCAAGATTTTTAAACATCAAAAACTTTCATGCACCTCCCCATTCACACACACAAACACCCACACATAGTATAGTAGTTGTAATGACTGTGACTGACAAAAAGCAACTGTGAACAAAATAAATGCAGCTAGAAAGAGAAAAGCTTTTAATTAGGGGAAATATTCAAAGCAGATATCTCTGACAAAGGTCTAATATAAAGGATGCAAGAAAATTGGGGGAAAAAAGCCTAAGAACAAGTCATTCCCTGATAGACAGGCCATAAAAAGATATGAACAGATAGTTTTCAAAAAGGAAGAAATTCAAGCTATCAACAGTCATATGAAAGAAGGCTCCAAACTCATCAATAATAAGATAAGTGCAAATTAAAATGACCCTGTAGTTTTACCTCACAATCATCAAATTGATCAAATTAGCAAAGATAACAAAAGGTAAAAGATTATAGATATTGGGAGAGGGAGTGTAGGAAGAGAGGAGTACATTGTTGGTGGAGCTGTGACTTGAATCAACTGTTCTGGAAAAGAATCTGAAATTATACCTTAAAAGCATAAAAAGAAAAAGTCAAGAGGAAGTACAGTGTAGTGGATAGAAAATTGGCTTCAGAGGCTAGAGAGTGGATCAACAAATTGACATATTTATTGAGACACTACTTCATTAATGAGACATTTTAAGGGTGGGGATGAGCAGAAAAGAAGAGAGATCTACTCTCCTCTGTTTCTTTGGACTTATCTTCAGGTCTCTTTGAATGTCTTCAGTTCTTCAGGCTTTGGGTCAGTCTCTTCTGGCTTCCAGCTTTGAAAGAGAAGATGAATGATGCTAACCCACTTCAGGTAGCTGAAAGAAAAGACTCTTGGAAGACATCAACATGAGAGTAGCTGGCAGTCCCCTATGTCCAGCTTGATACTCGACAGATTTCAGGGAGTTTCTCTTTGGGTGAGAAGAGGATTTTCTCTCTTGGTTGAGCCAAGTCACCTCACTCTAATGGAAGAGTTCCTTCAATATGTATCGTCTGATATATATTCTTCTATGTATACTTCCTCTGATTTCTGTTTTTGCTATCATCTTGGATAAAGGGGTTTCTTGGCTACCTCCTATGTGTGTTCATTATGAAAATGGTATTTGGTGGGAAGGAAATCAAGTCAGAGATATGGAGCTTAGGGTCCTGTCTCACCAAATAATGAAACAGTGATCAGAAGTCAGATTGAACCTTAAAGTCACATCCCCTGGATGAACAATATTTAATGCAGCAGATAGATATAATTCTAGACTGGTACACCCTCCCTCTGTGGGGAGCAGAGTGGCCAAACTTCTGACTCCAAACTTTTGCTTCCTCTCCTGGAATGAATTAAAGTCTTCCTTGGAGAAGGGTGGGAGAAAAACAGGCTAGAGATGTCTATTTTTGCCTCCTTTTGAGCCACATAATGACACACACTCCCATGCTACAAGTAGGGGACACCCCTCTTTACATGTAGAAGGCTATATGCCTCCACTTTGTAGGAAACACAACAAAAGTATTAAGACTGAACCTGGAGTTATCATCTCTTTATGACTGCTGAAAATGTTTTCCTTTCCCTTCACCTTCCTTGTTCTCTCTACTCTGCCTTGGTTAGACTTCCTGGTATCCTTTTTATTGGGTTTCCTGGATGTTTCAATCTTTGATGTTTTTCTTTATTTGATCTCCCCCACCTCACATAAAACCATATATTTGAATCTGAAATGTTTAATGATATGTTTGTATGTGAAAACAGTGTGGGAGAAGTGTTGATGAGAAATGCTGGGGCTAGCTAGTATAAAAGAGCCAGCCTCTGTTCAACAGTCAGAGAGAGAAAAGTCCTTTTCTCTAGCTTGGGGGCTCTGAATTTATTATCTTTCACAAATAGTCAGCATTATAAATTGAATCCAGCAAACTACTGCCCTGGATTTGAAAAAAAAAAAGTGAGCTTATACTGTGGTCTCCTGCACCTCCTAGGGGTTTCACCAGGGAGCTGAATCACATATAGATAGTGTTCACTTCTTGTAAATTCACATGCAAAATCAACTTTATTTCTGAAAGAAATACGCATTCCAAAACAAATTATGAAAATTCCTCATGCAAAGCAGTCACTGTATGACAAGATGCTAAATGATGCAGACAGTGTAAACAGTGGTAGGAAGCTGAGAAGCATCTCTAAGTTGGTTCCTGTCGGTCTGTAAACAGTGAGTGATTCTGTGCCTCTCCTTGTGTTCAATAGTGATCCTTGTATTTTCTACCATTGCCTGGGGGCAAATGTGCTCTTGAAGGGAAAAGTGAACCATCTTGGGAGTGCAAGCCAATAAACCTAGAAATGAAAATAATTAGAAAATATGAAGAAGGATAAAAATTATTGCAATAGCACATAAATTTAGTCTTGCAGTGTCAATTGTGAACACCATAGTGAAGGATGCTGCCCGGATAAAGAAGTTTGCAATAGGTAGTGCTTGCAGGAAATCAACTTCTCTGTCAAAACAGAGAGAAGGTACCATTCTAGAGTTTGAGAAACTATTTACTATGTGGCTAGAAGACCAGATTCAGAAGAATATTCCTTTAAGTTTGATAACAATTCAAAAGCCAAGGCTTGAAGCCTCTTGGAAGATTAAAGGTAAAGTACCATGAAGGAACACAGTTCATTGCAGCAACTAGTGGTTGGTTTGCACAATTTAAAAATTGTGCAGGATTTCATAATGTGCAAGTGTCAGGAGAGGCTGCCAGTATAGATACTGAAGCAGTAAAAAAGTTCCCAGAGTTCCTGGAAAAAAATAGTAGATGAAGGTGCTCCTTGCTGGAGGAGATCTTAGAAAATGGCCTACTGTATCAAAGAATGCCATCTCAAACCTACATCTTGGTGGAGGAAAAAAACATGCTGGGGCATAAAATTTGGAAAGAGTTACTCTTCAGCTTGGAGGGAATGCATTTGGGACTTATAAACTAAAACCTGTTCTTGTACACCACTCAGAAAATTCCAGAGCATTGAAAGGAATCAGCAAGGCAACACTACTTGTATATTATTTTGTTAACCCTAGGACGTGGATAACCCTTATCATCTTGGAATAATTTTTGTAATGATAATAGCATTCCTTTCAAGATTCTACTTACTTTGGATAATGCCCCAGGCCACCCTCCCCATCTAGATGATTTTAATGAAAATGTAAAAGTGGTCTACCTTCCCTTAACACTACCTTATTATTACAACCTATGGATCAGGGAGTGATTGCAAATTTCAAGCGTATTATTTACACACTACATTTGCTCAGGCAATTACAGCTTTGAATGCAAATAAGGACTTGACATTGAGAGATTTCTGGAAGTCCTACAATATTTACCATACAATCCAGAATATTGCTAAGGCATGGGAAGATGTAACAGAAACTAAGAGAGTTTGGGGGGGCGGGAAGGGGTATACCTGCAGTTCATTCCCAATTTTCATGAATTGGACAAAGACAAAATATTGCAAGAAGGTAACAAGATTACAAAATTAGCACAAGAATTGGAGCTAGAAGTAGATAAGAATGACACAGAGGAGCTGATTGAATCTCTTGGAGAAGAACTGTGGAGTGAAGATTTGATTGAGCAGCTAGCTACAAAGATTACAGAAGAAGAAAGGGAAGCTTTGTGCCTGAGGTTGAACCAAAAAGGTTCGCAACAAAACATCTGGCAGAAACATTTCATCATTTGAGTGATTTTTTTTTCTTGTATTGAAAAGATGGATCCAAATACTTCAAGATTTTTAAAAATTCAAAGATTTGTTGAGGATAATATTGCTTGCTGTCCTCAGACATCCAAAGGAAAAAAAAGGAGCCACTGTCCACTCACTTGCTAGCTTCATTTAAAAAAATTATGCTGCCAATCAAATAAAGATTAGGTGCAGTGAGTGGGGAAATAGCAAGAGACCGCACACCTATGTTAACTTTACTGTACAGTACTCATGCATACTTTATCATTAACTTTACTTTTCATTTCATAATTTTGTTATTATGGTACAGTGTCTAATATGTCTGCATTTTAGTATATTTTATGGCTTACATAAAAGTATTATTTTCTTTATGTCTTTGTTACATAGGCTAAGTAAAGTGAGTGGGTGAGGGCAAATTTGCACTATGTAAAAATCACTTTATGTAGAGATCTGCAGTCCATAAAGCAAGAACTATCTGTATATCACACTATAGGAAGACTAGGCAGGGGAGGGCAAAAGTGAGAAGGCAACCTCTACACTTTACTATTATCTGATAACTGATATCTTAGATTTGCCGGAAGAGACACTAAGTCCCTCCCCCCTAGACTTCCTCCTCAAAGCACTTCCTAGCTTTATGCCTGCTTCCTATACTCAGGTTGAGGGGAAAGAGGCTAGGAGGATGATAGTAAAAATAGGACCCAAGCAAATATCCCGATTCACCATGTGTCTCTCTGGGTGCTCATGAATGCTTGTGTGTATTGATTCTGTAACCCACTATTCAAGAAAAAGCACTGCGAAAGAAAAAAAAAAGTCACAGGAGGAAAATCCTTTCTAAGATTGCCCTTTACCAATTCCAACCTCAAACATTTTAGCCTCTTTACTTCTTGCCTTCTTTGTTTAATAAAGAAATTAAGATCCAAAGAGATTCCCGAGTTTGCCCAAGGTCATGCAAGTATTCAAACCCAGGTCATCTGACCCAAAACTTTATACTTTCTTTAATTACACAATCTAGAGGCAATAGGCAGCCACAGAAGGACTTCAAGTAGAAGAGTAACATGGTCAGACCTGAGCCTTAGGATGATTCTCTGGAGCTATGTGAAGAATGGATTGAAGGTAGAAAAACTAGAGTCACTGAAAATAGTTAGGAGGCATTTATAATAGTGGTAGGGGAAAGGTGATGAGGGCTTGAACTAAGGTGGTAATATAAGTAAGACACATATTTATAAAAACAAACAATATTTGACCACTAAAAGATGTGAGATGCGGGAAAGGAAAGAATCAATTACCCCAAAGTTTTTAGGCTGCATGGAAGCAGGAAAGTCAGAAAGGGGTACAGGCTTGAGGGCAAAGAGGACGAATTTAATTGAGGATATGTTGCATTTGAGATCCTGGCAGGACATTCAGGTGGAGATATCCAAAAGGCAAAAAGTGGATGGGAAGACCAAGGGATATATTGAAGTTAAATATGCAGATATGAGAGTTATCTGCAAAGGGATGATCATTGAAGCCACTAGAGCTGGTAAGATCATGCAGGATGAAACTACAGAGAAGAGGACCAAGGACAGAGCATTCAGAGACACCCACACCCAGGCAATGGAGGGAGGATGTTCAAGGAATGTAAGAGACTGAGATGGAGCAGTCACAGAGATAGGAGGATAACTAGAAGAGACAAACAAACATCAAGGAAAGAAATGGAAGATGAAATAAAAAGAAATAGCATTGGTCATCAGCATCAACTTTTATAGAAATTTCAAGGAGGATAAAGAAAAGCCCATTGGATATAGAAATTGAGGGAATTTGAGAAATCTTTTCAAGAGAGAAATAAGGATAAAAATAAGATTTAGGTTGGTGATGAAGTTCAAGTGATGAATGTAAACTCCCCTTCTTAGAAGTTAAGTAATGAAGGAGTAGTGAAAGGAGGGAATAACAGGATCAAGAGGTCTTTACAGAACAGAAGTGATCAGGCTTTTGGGCTTATGGTACAACAACACCTGAGTGCAGGGATTCTTTAACCTGGAACATGTCATCTTCTAATATATATAAAATTAATATAAAAATATAATATATATATATATGTGTATATTTGAACATAATTGGCTTCTTCTAGTATTTATATAGTGCCTACTGTGTGCCAAGCACTGTGATAAGCACTTTACAAATTATTACCTCATTTGATATTCAAAACAACCCTGGGAGATAGTGCCATTATTATCCCTATTTCACAGTTGAGGAAACTGAGCAAAGCAGAGGTTAACTGACTTGCCCAAGATCATACAGTCAGTAAGTGTGTGAGGCCAAATTTGAACTCAAGTCCTGCTGACTCCAGGGCAGCTAGGTGCTGCAGTGAGCACTAGACTTGGAATCAAGAAGACTCATCTTCATGAGTTCAAATCCAGTCTCAGAAAGCTGTTAGCTGTGTGACCCTGGGCAAGCCTCTTAAACCTGTTTACTTCAGTTCCTCATCTGTAAAATGAGCTGCAGAAGGAAATGGAAAGCCACTCCAGCATCTTTGCCATGGGGTCATGAAGAGTTGGACATAACTAAAATTACACAATAACAACCTCCTAGGGGCAGCTAGATGGCACAGTGGATAGAGCACCAGCCCTGGATTCAGTAGGATGTGAGTTCAAATCCAGCCTCAGACACATAACATTTACTAGCTGTGTGACCCTGGGCAAATCACTTAATCCTGTTGCCCAGCAAAAAAAAAAAAAAATTAAAAAAAAACCCAACCTCCTGACTCCAGACCCAAAGCTTTACCCACTGTGTATCCTTATACTTATTGTTGTTACACACAGACCATGTAACCCTGGGCAAGTTACTTAACCTCTCAGTAGACTAGGCAACTCTCTATTACTATAAACTGCAGGGAGGGTTCCAAACTGGATTTTTAGCAAAGGAAGTTATTCACTAAGAGTTTCTTAGGCCAATGAAATTACAGATCTGGTAAAAAAAAAAAAACCTATATTACAAGGGGGGAAAAGTCATTTCAGAAGAGGAAGGAGCACTAACGACTCAGAATATCAGAATATCCTGTAAAGGATGGCTTTTGAGAGGTCTTGAAGTGGCCTAGGGATTCCAAGTGGCATAGGTAAGGAGAGTATTCAGGAAATGCAAAATAATTTGTTGAAAGGTACGCAGGTAGGAAACATCTCATATAAAGGGAATAGCAAGTAGTACAGTTCTACTGGAACATGGAATACATAAAGGAGAATAATAAAGTAGTAAAAAAAAAATGGCTCCCAACACTTGCTCCCTTTCAACAGCAAAATGTCTTATGAACCCCCAAGATAACTGCATATATATTCATAATACATTTTTACATTTATTCATTAAGTGCTTCAATATCCACAATGATAACTTTTGCCCAAAAAAGACCCAAATTAAAATTTACATTATATAATTATAAAACACAAAATTTTATTCTCCCTATAATCATGAAAACTTTACATATAAAATTATAAGATTTATTGTAAAATAAATGTCAAACCCTTATAGCAGTTTGGAAACAATTTGATGACAAGTTGAGAAACTGCAAGAACACATTGCCCTAGGTCAGAAGTGGTAAGAGTTTGAAGCAATTGCTTCCTGAACACCAAAATTATGTGCATGATCTTGACAGTTGCAAA